GACCTTCAACTCCGGCAACACCTATGAGTCAGCGTGGACAACCGGATGCCAGTTCGAGGACTTCTCCAATGCCATGGGCGAAGTTTCGTGCGACTCAAGGTACAGGCAATGGCATTGGAACCGCAGCCGACTTTCAAGCCAACTTGGGTAACATGTTTCCCCCTTCCAATGGACTCGGCATTCACAGCTCTCGGACACACGCTACCAGGCGGAGTTCCAGATGGCAGTCAACCTACAGACATGGAATCCTTGTTGAGGCAGCTGGTCTCCACCCTTGGAGGCGAGCGGAAATCTCAAGTGCCAACTTGGAGCGGCGCGCCAAACCTCTTGCGCCAATGGCTGAAAAGCCTCGGGCTCTGGGAACAAGAAACCTCACTACCCAAGAGCAAGTGGGGATTGCGCCTGTATGCAGCCCTCACTGACGATGCGAAGCGCATCGCTGACACGGTGCCAATGGAAGAATTGGTTACTGAACGTGGCTACTCGGCCATACTCACGGCACTGATGTCAAAATACAAACCGTATTCAGAAGCGGTTGGACCCTCGAGCGTGGGCTCCTTTTTGTACCTTGGTGAAAGAGGCCCCAAGGAATCCTTCGCAGCCTATTTGGCCCGCAAAGAAGTTCAACGCCAAGAACTCGAGAGTCAGATCGGTGAGAAGCTATACAGACTTTGGTCGCCGGCCGTGTGCTCCTTCGCCAGGCGAACTTGACGGAGCAACAGCAGCAGCCCCTAGCTCTGAAGATGACCACCCTGGCCGCCTACGAGGAAGTTATTCAGAGCCTTCGGCCTCTGGATAGGTTGGACAGCTTAGCCAAAGCAGGTGGACTACCAGGAGCTGCAACCACGACCAAGACCTACATGACTGCCGAGCCCTACGACTACGACTACTTCGACGAAGACGAAGAGGAGGAGGATGGAGAAGCTGATGACTATGACTATGAGGACGACGGCGACTCTGTGGAAGATGGCGTGCTCCATTTCGAAGACAGGGAGTATGATGAGATGGAGGCAGTCCATGTCCAGACGTACAACGACGTGCGCAAGGATTTGAGGTCTCGACGAAATGAACGAGGCTTCGTCAACCGCCGTGGGAAGAAACCAAAAGGAAGCGGCAAAGGCGGTCGCTTCAGAAGGAAAGGCCGTGGAAAAGGTCGCGGTGGAAAAGCGCCAAAGAGGGATGACACAGTTGTAAGGGGCACAGAACAAGAACTACTTGCCCGAACAAGACGCTTCAATTGCCAAGAACTCGGACATATCAGCAGGAATTGCCAAATGAAGCCCTCAAAGAAGCCAAGTGGCGGCGCAAACTTTGTCACAGTTGGCACTGGCCCCAAGGCCAGTCCCAAGGCTCCTACTTCGTCGACGATGATGACAAGCAGGACGACTTCGAGCATCTTTGCCTTCAGCAAGGTGAACAGTGAAGCGACTCAAAGATCTTTGACAAGAGCCATCTATGCCGGTGTTCGCTGCAGAGCCAACCAATGTGTGGTGGACACAGCGGCTGAAGATGCAGTCACAGGTTCGCAAGCCTATGAAGCTATGGTTGAAGAGTTGGCCTACCTATGGTTCAGGTAGCCAGCAAGCAAGCGCCAAGAGAAACAAACACAAACCAAACCTTTGCATGTGCTGTGCTGTATCATAAGTTTTTGTCTATGTTTTCTGCTGTTTGGTTTTGAAAGGTATGTGTTCTTTGCCTTTGTCACACGGCAAATGCAAATGCTTGGTGTTACAGTACCTCCACCCTGGTTCTCTAAAACATAGGTACCGGGGAGGCACCACGGTTGCTATTCGCCCCTTTCTGGTACCTATGTTTCAGGCACCAAGCGCTGCAGGCCTTACAAGCAAACAAATGTGTGAGTAGCGCGTCGTATGTATGTATATATGTACCAATATGTGCGTACAAGTCATTTTACATCAGCAGACGATAGATGACATAAATCCAGCTAAGCTCTGTGAACATAGTTTATACACTGGGTCCCAAGACTTGTGTATCCTGCTGCAAGCCTGAGTGTTTGATAGTAAACGAAACAGTAGCATTTGAGGCAATGTTTTGAGACTTAGGCTGCGCCCCTGTATTGACCTGTGAAGTGGCAGTAGTGATTGCTTTTATCGCCCCCCTTCTAGATACTGCTTGTTACAGATTGAATAAAGAGCTGCATTTTGGAAACCAATGTCTTTTCATGTGATGTCTCTTTCTGTGCTAGTTTTCATTCTGTCCATGATACCGTCTTAGATTTCAATTAGTTGTTCCACATAATTATCCATATAATCACCGCCCCTGTATAGATAAGGTTGGCGTGTTTTGTTATCAATTGAACTCACTGCGTTTAGCAGAAGCCCACTTGGCCCTTCCACCAGCCAGTAATCGCGCAGAACACTTGCAAAACGGTGGGGCTATATGGACTTGAAGGTACAAACTTGGCGTGGAGACAGGTTCAATGTCTTTTTGTGTAAAGATTGGTTTCCTGAATGTTGGCATGAAGAGGACTGTAATGCAGAGATGTTAAAAAACATGTAGTACAAAGAACCTCGGGGTGAAGAGCGGAGCTTTTCAGTTCAACAGTTTTAAGATGCAGAAAAACGATAAACAAAGGTGAGCACAATGCATTGAAGGTTCAAAGGAGCGTGGAATTCAGATGTATTCAAAGGTTCTTGGTGTGAAGACTGCTTTTAAGAAGTTGGTGATACAGAGGACTAGGGATGTTCCCAATACATGGGACTCAAAAACTTTGACGCCGATTCTTGTGGAACCTCAAACGTTGTCCTTCTTGATATTGCCGCTCCACTAAAGAAGCAAACGCTTGGGTGGATGCATATGTTCCTGAGGTCTTGGCGTTTTAACCCAAAGGAGTTCAGCGTATGTCACATGTCATATGACATAAACGACATAAACAGTGGTGACGCTAAACCAGATTTTGCATTCCACAAGAGTGGAGACTGCAGTCAACAGGTGTAAAGTCTTGATGTTCGGTGTGCGCCAGGAGAAGAAAGAACGCTTAGGTGTTTAGTGTTTGGTTGCATTTGATGCCAAGTTGTTGCGCTAATAAGGATCCAGGCACAAACTACTTGTAATTTTAAACAGCTTAGCTTAATAGATTCTGCTCTCAAAACTGTGGTTCAACTTGACGCCCAGCATACACAGAAACATGTCTTCACTCAATTCCTTTGGAACAGTGAAATATTTAGGGTGTTTGTTTGTGATGACTTGCTGATGGGGAACCAAACACATACTAATTGTAATTCCTGTGGCAAAACGGCTTTTTAAACAGATTCATTTGTGAAAATGATTGTGATTGGTTCAACTTGACACCTTAACATATAGAGAAATATGCCGTAACAAGTCGTTTTTCTTAAACTTCCTCGGTGGAATACAGTTCAACGATTACTTTTTAAACGTTTGTGATCATTTGTGGCTTTTCTATTTGTAAAACGTCATAAACAATATCCAACAATTTTATGGAAGCGCAGAAATGGCAAACCTATCAATGATATGGACCCTTTTGATCTGGACCCCTTATTGAACCTCCTGAGCTTAGACGGAAAGTTGCTGTGGGTTCAGAACAGGAAACTTTAAGATGGTACAAGTACCAACAGATAGCAATATGGCAGACCTCAATACAAAGCCGCTTGGAGGACCAAGAATCAGATACTTGATGAACCTCATTGGGTAGTTGGCACAGTGAAGATCAAACAACAGTAGGAGAGTATGAGAGAAGGATGTTTGAAGAGCAGAATCTTGCAGGAAAGGTCAACAAGATCGCAAAGATGCTTGCGTTAGAGGGCTTGCAGCCAAAGGTTACAGAGGCATTCCTCAAGGAGGAAGAAGACAACCAGTGTCGGTTGGAGAAGATGAAGGATTCCAATGACAGCTGGAATATTTTGATCATTGTGGTCATCATGATCAATATCATTGGTTTTGCAGCAGTGATCTTTGCGCTATGGAAACTCTACAGGCGAGTTGCAAAGCACTATGATGAGCTATACTATCGCGTGGAGAAACGCTAGTGGAAATCTTTGGAACATACTGAATACAGAACAGACAATGCAGGATTCCAAATCACAGAACTTGCAAATGACATCAAAGAGATTGAAAAGTATGAAGAGAGAATTGATCTTTTACGTAACTATGCCAGGGGAATTCATTGTGGGTTGATTTCCAATGGAGGCTTTACTGAGCGTGAAGTACCAAACCTTCAAACATTCATCGCTATGATGTGTTAGGAGAGTTGAATGCAGGAAACTTCTTAGCCAGAAGGAGCTTAGAAGATATGCAAGCAACGAAAACACAATGTTGGGGACACAGAGTAATGTTGCAGGCAGCTACAGATGGAGCAACCCCATCAGAAGGACCATTGAACAGAATGTTCAAGACAGGAAACAGGGAGATACCAAGCAGAGAACAATACTTTACAGAACAGGCAAGCCAAATGTGTGGTCGACTTGAAGCAAAACTAAACTTGGTCAACTCAATGAAAGACACTGGAACCTCATGGGTAGAGGACTGCAAGAGGCAGCAGACATGGTAGAGAAGGAAATGGTGAAATATCAAGAATTGTTGGAATGTGCAGTTATGAGGAGAGATTTTCCAGATAGACCACAAACAGAGATGATATCGCTAGGAACCCAGTTCCTGAGAGAACAGACTAAGCCTGCAGAGAGAGATAAGAATTGAATGGAAGAACATGGGCTATGGTGGCAAAGTGAGCTCAAAGAAGCATCTTAGAGTTTCACATCGCCAAGAAGGAGTGCGAACCATTTTCAATAGAGATCAGACCTCATGTATATAGCGTTACAAGCATCGTGAAAAATTCATGAAAATACTGCGCAGCCCCTTGGACCTCCAGAAAAAGTCCGTAATATTATATAATGATAGAGTCACCAGCAGTTACTTGAGAACACATTTTAACTAGATTCCTGAAGCCTTGAGTAACAATAACAAAAATCCGAGGATGCAACGTTTTGGTATCCCGAGAGTGGATTTCCGGCCGTGCGCCTGAGGCAGAAATACAAGATCTCCGCGCGCAAATTTCAAGGCAATGCGCTGGTCACAAGAGCTTAGAAAATTGAACCGCATCACCATGGAACCTTTTTCTAGGCCAGTGGACACATTATGCGCCCCTATCCATGTTCAAAGTTATCTGCCACTTGCTACCCAAATTCCCTGTCCATGTCCATGTTTAAAATCATCATTATAAGCAGAGGCCGTGAATCTGTGAACGTCAAATATCTAAGAAATGTGCTGGACCGCCTGCTTATTTCTCCTGGCTCAAGACTTGAGAAGATGAGTGCTGCAGAATGCCCCATGGGCCCCATGGGCTGTCGGAATGCCCACAGACTATGTGGTGCTGCCAGATGTGGGCCGCATCAGCCGAGAGCAGCTGCGGCTTCTACAGCCCACAGGTGAAGCATCTCCACAGCGACGCCGACTGCGGGCTGTCCGCAGCTCTGCATCAACAGGCAGCCTCGTCGTCTCGAACCGATCTCGAGACAATCTTCGCTCAAGAAGATTAGATCAATCCGCAAGGCTTGCTGAGAGCTTATCGGTTGGAGGATCTGCGATCTCTGCAATCTCTGCTTTGCGACCAGAAAGTTCCGTGGACTTTCGACTTCTCACAGAGAGCTCGCTCGAGAACAGGGAGATTTGCTGGCATGATTGAAAGAATAGTGTTTGCCAGTTGTCCTTGCACGCGAACTACAGACATAATTTCATTTCCCATTTGTGACACAGACCTCCACACGAGAGTTAGAAGTACGCTGTGCATCATAGAGATACATGCGGCCAAAGGATGCATAGTACGCATATGTAATGAGCAAACAGAGTTGGATCAATGATGAAAGCGTTCAATACTTTCTAATTACGGGGTTTACGGCAAATGCTGAAATTACACACCACCCACCACACTTGCAAATGCACGGTTATTGAATGGGAACTGGCCTCTAAGACAGCCTATCCGAATGAGCCTACCAGAAAGATAAGAGAGTTCGTTTGGCTGGACACATACTGCGGGCACCTAATATGGATATCTTTTGCCAGACAGCGTCGATAGCATAGCGTTTGAAGACCCGACAACAGTGGGTCTTTATATCCCGTGAACATGTCCACTCCGTGTAAAGCTAATTTCAATACAGTAATTTCCTAGTAGCCTTCTTTACTAATTTTAATTTGATTCTACTAGCAAACATTGTTACTACTAGTAAGGCACTTGTTACTAGAAGCGACGCACTTGTTACTAGTAGCGAACCTTGTTACAGTTTCAATACAGTAATTAAGGGAGGGGGGATCGAGCTAAAAAAGAATGAACCGTTTGCCGCTTGCTGTTGGTCCCTCTGGCCCTGGCTCGATTCCTGAATACAAACGTGAGACTGCGCAGATTTTCTGTGGCATATTGGCATGTCCCGTGTTGATAAAGCAGAGACCTCATAGATCCACCTTTGCTTACATTCATGTGGTGGGCTGCAATCCCAAAAGCAGAAAGCAAAACAAATAGACAACAAAAGTGCAAACAGGTCTACAAAATGCTCTTGCCTGCGGTGAGCATCTGGAAATCGGAGATTCGGCGAGCCCACAATCCAGAGAGAAACTGCCTTCTTGACAACGTGAATTGCTTTTTCTCCTCAATGTGCATATGGATGCGTTCACTCTTTTGACACACGGAACCTTTTCTTGAAGCAAGGTTCTTCAAGGAATTCTACCACCAGCCTCAGGGCTCGGCATACATCATACACCGTACATGCATATGCAGGCTGTTACGTAGTAATAGTGTGTTTTGTAAAAGTAACAATAACGAATGAAAGATAGTGAAGAAGTGGTTGTGCATCCGTTGGCCATTTTGGCTACAAGTGGTCAACCCCCCCACACACATTTTCAAGTGAGCCATGGAGTTGGGCTGGACCCCGGAGTATGGGGATGTGGCGGGGGGGTTGACAGCCATTACTGTGGAAGATGATGACGAGGAGACGCTGCAGGAACTGGCTGGCAGAGTGAGGGAAGTGGAGGCCATGCGCATAGAGGACATGGCGTGTCAGGCCGATGCAGTGGAGAGCCCAACCGAGATCTTCGCGGATGAGCAGCCAGACGGCCAAGGAGAGGGGGTCAGTCCCCTCCTGAAGCTGAAACAAGCAGTGGATGCGGCAGCGGCGTCGAGTTCCACGGCAGGGCCTCCAGATGTCCACATGAAGATTGACAAGGACGAGTACGGCATGATAGAGAGCGAGAGGCAGAAGCTGAAAAAGTTCGTGCCCGAATCACTGCGCATGCCTTGGGAGCGTGGATTTGCAGGCGTGGTGCTGGGTGGAGCAGACAAGCATTTGCAGGTGAGCTCGTTGATGGAGTCTACACGAAGTGCCAAGTTCATGGAAGTTGAAGTTGACAAGACGAAGGTGGAGTCAAGTGAAGTGAGGCTCAAGCCCAGCTTCGTCATCAAGGACAAGGAGAGGTTGCCTTGGGACCGAGCCCAGTCAGAAGAGAGAGATCGTTTGCTGACAGGGTGGAAGGTGGTGATAGCCGAGGCAGGTGACCACTCCAAAGTGGAGACCATGATGCGACAGCATGGTGAACAGGTGTTGGATGACGTGTTTGCCAAGAAGAAGAATGGCACGCTACAAGTTCGACTCAGTGCAATGATGCTGTATGTACGTTGGTCGAGAGCGAAGGGGCTGGACCCGTTTCCCCTGTTGGAGGATCAGTGCTATGCCTATGTGGACCAGCTGCGACGTGATGGGGCGCCGGCTACACGGGCAAGCAGCTTCCGCAGTGCACTGGCTTTCTGCAAGGGCGCGATCACAACTGGGTGGAGTGGATGAGATCCTGCAGAGTGGTAGGATTACGGGTTCAGCCCATAGAAGCTTCCTGACGAAGAGGACCCTCAGGCAGCGTGATGCACTGACAGTTCACCAGGTGTCTGTGCTGGAGCGTGTTTTGTGTGGCGAAACGTTTCCACTGCAAGATCGCACATTTGCAGGACACTGCCTGGTGTGCATCTACGGCAGGTTGAGATTCGGTGACAGCCAAGGGATCCAGCAGGAGCCTGTGGTCGATGGTGGCTACTTGGAGGGTGGGACGTCCACCCACAAGACGGACTCCATCGCGGGCCGGGCGTGTCGGATCCTTCCAGTGGTTGCGCCGGAGGTTGGAGTCTCTGGGGTGGCATGGGCAGCCATGCTGCTGAAGCTCCGAGAGCTGGCGGGGCTGAGGGGCCTCCCGGGCAGGCCATTTCTGCCAACTCCACTGCCAGGTGGGGGTTGGAGCTTGGCGAAGCTGTCCACGTCTGAGGCATCGGTGTGGCTCTGTGAAGTGCTGAGGAAGTACTCCCTCAGCCCAGGAGTGCTGGACAATGTCGGTGCACATTCACTCAAAGCTACAGCCCTATCTTGGCTCGCCAAGTTCATGGCCCCTGAGAAGGTCAGGAGGCTGATGGGGTACCACGTGAAGCCAAAGGACAAGACAGTCTTGATTTACTCCCGTGATGCACTGGCAGCAGGTTTGCAAGTGTTGACA